AAAGCACCGTGGAAATTCATTGGACAGAACGAAAGAATGAATATTTCCTTAGAGTTATGGAATACTGATGAGTTGACCGTCGAAAACGTAGCTAAAAAAATCAAGGACGTACACAAAGTAATTGTGATGAGTTTCGACTCTCGAAGGAATCAGTTTCATTACAAAGTCAATAGTATTTATCAATCGGAAGGAACTATTATCTGTCGCACTGGAAAGTATCGCAACTGTGAAGTAAGGTGCGTGCGAGATGAGGCCGAACCCTCCAAGTGTGCCTGGAAGGTGGTCAAACCAGCCGATAGTGGACATGGACTGTGCCACATTCCGAAGGTGAAAACTTCATGCAAATGCCCACCTTGTCATTTGACAGAGTGGCAGGAATGGAGTTTCGATCGACCCTGCGGTTACGCCACTGGCGTTAGATACAGACCGAGGAACAGTTTCCCTGAGGAGTCGTGTAAAGGAAAGACCAACGAATGTTGTAAAGAAACGTACGAAGGCTTTATCGGAAATTGTCCTTGCTTGATGCCTCTCCTGTGCGCTAACGGAGGTACTTGCCACAACTTGAACCTCAATGACTGGGTGTGCTCGTGTCCGTTCGGATACACTGGCAAAGACTGTTCAATAGGTAAGCAAAGCTATTCGCCCAAAAAGAAATATTTAAATTACGTAGTTTCTTAAATACCATACATAATGAGTGGAACATAGCTTAGTTCTATCATATACCAGTTCTTGAATGAGCCATGTAGTTTGAGGCGCTACGTTTGTATGCGGAACGACGAAATTGCGCTAATGTGGTTGTTGTCATACTAAAACAATTATTATTATATTCATCGCTCAGTCGACTTTGTATGCTGACTCATTTGTTATTATATTTGAACAAGAATTTTACTCAACTGAGTTAAATTGGAATCAGCTGTTCATCAGTGAACGACCGAGAAAATTCTATGCTCTTCGAGAGCCGAATCTGAGCTGGCAATGTTTTGATTATGCTGTTTAGTTTGAGGCAGCAATATTTTTCTATTAGCACTGATGTAACTTATTAATAAAAAGTTTCGAATTTGCGTACTGTTTGCAACTCTAAAAGAAATTAATCTTTAGGTGAGTCATAAACAGGAAGTCAACGCATGAAATAGTCTTTAATTAGGGACATCTGATGTTTTGGACCATGCTCGGCCCGTTTTCATAGTACAATTGCAGTACCAATGCGGATAACTGTCCACTTTTCAAGTAGCGTCCTTTCACCTGAAGGTCTTGGCACTTCCTTGCTGGATGAATATCTTTGGACCATCGCCAAAGACCAACTAGACCTGCACACAACAGAATGGCTCCATTTAAACTAAATTTGGTCACGGCCAATTTTGATTTAAATGAGGTTTCTGTGAGGCTTGTAGAGTCACTCAACTTCCAATATTGATATATCATCTTTATTAGATTAGTGGATAGATCCAGACCAGAACATCTCCGTATATGAGGTAAAAGCAACCGTGCCACTTCATTGAATTTTCTCCTATTGATGCGATGTCATCTGCAAATGCAAATGAAATAATGTTCATTTGAGTCAAGAGATATAAGTGCTGCGGCGAAATTTGATTTTAACATTGATTCTTTCCTGATTAATTCTAAAGCGAATCTGACCCTTAGTGAAACGCGCAGGGCCACGCAGAAGTCAAGTTTTATATCTGTTCTTGCATTTAGATATCGATGAATGCCTTCAGACTGACTGCAGCGGCCACGGACGCTGTGCGAACCACATTGGATATTACATTTGTCATTGTGACCGTGGATACGCTGGCGACGACTGCGAAATTAGTAAGTAATATCATATGCTTCTTACGTCATCAAATTGTGTCATATACAAAGTGGTATCTTTCTGAGGTCCGGTAGGCACTTATATATGATTATTGACATTTGCTCGAACATGAGTCCAATATGCTGACTCCATTCGTTTATTAGATAGCTGAGGGATGTAAGATTAAGATTTC